CCTCTCCGCTTTGTTGTGAAAGTGGTACAGGATCTACTGAGAAGCTAAACTCAGGATGGCATGATAAAAGTACCCAGAAAACCTTTTAATTGGCTAAACCGTAAGTAAAACCCTCTTAACGTGATGTAGCAAAGAAATCCAATTATACACTTCACACAGTCAGCTACAAGTTATTTTCATGGCTTTTTCCCATAGTTTGTTTACACTTTTTGCAGGTTCACTGATATCTGGTGGAGGGTGTTGGGTCACTGGGGGACCGTGTAAACAGTGCATGCAGAGCTATAAGAAATCATTAACCATTTTTCTTTTATCTCAAAATGGAAAAGTTCAGTTCCACTTTTACATTTACATCAGGCACAGCTTGACATCTGCAAGAGAAAATGACAACTGCTGTGAAAAGATTTTGTGTGACATTTAAGTTGAACACAACAAACAAATGTATGTACATTTTAGGGCAGCTGAGTGTCATATTTTAAGGGCACAAACTAAATAATGTTACTAAATAAAAGAGTAAACAGTGAATTTAACCAAGTACTACTTTTGGAAACAAATAAATATTGATCAATGGCCTTGTTTTTTTCCCTGACATGTTTTTATTGAGATTTATTGAGGTAAAATGACATTATACAAAAAATAAATAAACATACAGTTCACTTAATTGGAATTATGGTTTCTACAGGATGTCAAAATTCTTTAAAATGCGCAATCAAATGTCTTTAATGTCCTAAAGATTTTCTTTAGCCGTATAGCTCATCAATAACTTTGTTAATCTGCAAAGCTCACATATCATAATTCACCTCAGAAAACTAAGCTTGGCAGCAGATGGTCTGATCTCTTTCTCATTCAACTTTGTCCACCTCAGTCAATACAGCCTGATGCCTAAAATAATTCCTTTTGTTGAAATCACACTAATTTTGTGATATTTTTATGGATTTTGTATGTTGTTGTGTTATTAATAATAATAGTAATAAACTTGTTTTTGCACTAACTTTGGTATTGGTGTTGGTAATTGTATTAGAATTAACTGACTCAGGAATCTTGAATCAGTCATTGAGTCTCACTGGGTTTTGTGGGTAAAAGTGGGGAGCTGTCTGTTAAATTTTAATCTGACCTTCATTATTGCGTACTGTTATTAAGTTTTTGAAAGACTCTAACTTTTCATTCCAAGGTTTTCCTCAAAAGCAGAATTTACCTCAAGTGTCAACTTTGTGTCAACTATTTTTCTCCAAAACATAAGTAAAATAATAAAACTTTTTTACATGTTTCCCTCAACACAGAGTGAATGCATTTAATGACAGGATAACATAAACCACTGCCAGATAGCCTATATAGGGTATGTGTTGATGATAATTCCTTTGAGAGGTTATAGAAAAGAAACAAATGATTATGTTTTGATGATTAGGTGAGAAAAATTGTTCTTATTCAATAAACACTAAATCTTTTTTTTTTCATTTCCTAGGTGGTCACAGTCAATCATCTACAGTCATGGTCATTTGCAGTCACCCCATGCTGTCTGTGATGTAACAATCTCAGGACCTCTCCATCGTGGCTCCTCGTTTCCACTTTTCAATTTGCAAGCTCTGATAAAAGTGGGTCACAATTAAATAATCACAGATGAATCACACCATCAAAGAAACACTGCTGTGCACTGTAAAACTGAGCCTACACAGCTTGGACTGAAATGGAAAAAAAGCTTAGCTAGTGTCAGCATCTTTTCTTAAACCTTGTAAATTCATACACAGCTATCTTCTCCTCTGTGGGCTCAAACTAGGACAGTGTGGACAGACTTATGCTTCAGTAACATCTGCTTTATATCAAAATCTACAGGAAATAATCAACCTTTTTTTATTTGGATGCCTTGACAGTGATTTTACATGTGCTGGCATGTGCTTTGTGAAACATCTTAAAATCATCTGGCTCACAGCAACTACACCCCACTACTCCATTTCCCACTTTCACAAAAATGTTCAATCAAATGAACTTTCCACAACATTCACAGTCTTTGAAATTCAAACTCTTTCAAGTCAAGTCCAAATATGTGCAACTAACATTTTCAATCATCACTTCAATGGATTCCTATGGGATCCTATGGCATCTCTCATCTTCATATTGGCCTGTGCATTATGGCTTCCAGGCCGCTGACATCAATTATAGTTCTGTACTGCACTGCCTTGAACTGCCATGTTTTTCATGTTAAATCTGTAAAATGGCTGTGTGTTGTCAATACATAGTTGTTACTCACATGGATGCTGAGCTAACAGTCCTTGCAGATGGAGTCTGGATGTCTTTGTTTATTACAAGGAGAAACAACTTGACAATAGCAAACAATATGACAAGTTGGAAAGATGATTTGTGCATGTTGTTAAAGTATTGTAAAGAGCCTTTCAGTGTTCATTTTAAATCAGCCAGTTGATTTAAGGCTGATTCCAAAAACCATGGTTAAACTTTTAGAAGTGAGTAGTGACCAATACCATCTTGAGAATGTCCAACCTAGTCTGATCTCTGAAGCTAAGCAGGGTTCAGCATGGTCAGTGGGATGGAAGGCAGCTGGGAACACCAGGCCCTCTACCGGGGCAGCAGTGACTATAATCTAGCACATACTGCCATTGTGTTCTTCGGCAAAACACATCCCCCACCATAAGTGTGTCATAGGTGGTGGTTGGAGAGGCCGATGGCACAGATGGCATTATTACAATGAAGTTATTTTAATAGTTTGCATTCATATAGTGTGTTAATCACCACCTAGTCTAAAATTGATCTAAAGGACAGTTAAGAGTAAAAATCTTTGTTAAACTGTTCAAATACAGATGCTTTGATCAGGTTTATGGTTAATATACTGAGCATGTCCACCTTAAACCAAACTGTCACAAAATTATGATTTTTTTTTTTTTTCACTTTAGACCAAGTCAAATAACCAAAACAGTGACATTCATTATGTGTTTTGTCTATATTTTTTCTCAAATCTCATATTTTGATTTAACCAAATTCTCTACAATGTGAATATGCAACCTACCTATGTCTTTAGCTCATGAGGAAGCAGACCAAAAAGCTTAAATTGTGTAATTGTTGCAGATATTGGAAAACACAAGGACTTTCTATTACTCCATTGTTCGAAAGTGTAAATGAAAATTATAATTTGCTGACAAAGGAAGGAAAGACAGGAAGGAAGGAAGTCATAGTCAATGCTTGAAGTCTGAGCTGGGAAGCAGAGAAAACTCAAATGTTTTTGTGAGGTCAGGAGAACAAACTCCAACCTAGACTTTTGTGGAATGGCATTTTATTCACAAATCACTATAAATGAATGTAGCCAATTATATATTTTTTATTAACCTGGGCCAGGTTAGTACTTTGGCGGGAGATCCCTGGAAATTTCAGGTGCTACAGTAGAACGCCTGTGGTAAAACTGTGTCCTTCACCCAAATTGCTTAATATGAATGTGGTATCTGTGTGTGAATCACAATGGCGCAGATTGGCAGTCTCACTTCTACCAGTCTGGCCCAGGGCAACAGGGAACAATGTCTACAGTGTAGCTTGAGAGGCTTTGACAAGCCTGGAAAGACTGCTCATTAAATGTGTTTATCATTGCCAAAAAAAAAAAAAAAAAACAACTTAGAAAGACCCAGGACACGCTGGAGGGACTATGTCTCTCTGCTGGCCTGGGAACGCCTTGGGGTTCCCCCGGAGGAGCTGGAGGACGTGTCTGGGGTGAAGGAAGTCTGGGAGTCCCTGCTTAGGCTGCTGCCCCCGTGACCCGGCCCTGGATAAGCGGACGAAAATGGATGGATGGAACTTAGAAACATGCATTCCTACTGTGTACTTTTCTGAATTCAGACAGATATGTAAGAGATAGTTCTATATACTGTGCAACATTCTAAGCAAAAAACAAAAAAAAAAAAAAAAACATGATGCGCAAGAAGGTGGCACACTGTACATCAGAAAAGCTACATAGTGCAGCTTTAAATAAAATTGTTCTACATTATTAAATAAAATTTAATGCAACAGTTGTTAAATATACAGTGTCCCATTAGCTGTTACTTCCTTGCCCAAAGACATACCACATGGTGATTCAACCTTCAGTTCTGCTCTACAGCATGCATAAAGGCAAGATATTATAATGGCATTTGGAAGCTACACACAGCTAGTCAGTCTAATAGAAAGCTCCCCATTCTCGCATCTCCATGCAGAATCCCTCCCACATATCAGAAAGCCACCACTGAATTCAATCACCCAAACTATACTCTGAGCATGGATTCTCCCACAGCAATCGACTTACTGTAGATTTCTTAGACTTCTTCAATAAAACACAGGAAATGTATGAGGAATGTCTGGCTGCATGCGTGAATAAGCAGATGTTGCATATTTGAACATAGTCATGGTTCATTATTGAAAATTTCTGAGACAGTTCCGGTCTAAACTCTGGTGGTCTAAGCAGCATCCATCCATTTGGCGAGAGATCTTCTCCCCGAGGCATGTCAGACTGCTACTGATGCCTCCCCAAACACACATTTAAAAGCATTTAATTATCATCTATCCTACACAGACAAGCTTCAGTATTTAGTAGATCTACTTGAGTGGAACATCAGCAGGTCTTTAAGATTTTTCACAATGGCAAATGTTGCTGTGTTTTCTGTGCATTAGTTTTCTTCACAAACAGAATCTAGGTCAGTAAATGTTTTATGATTAAATGTCAGGAGTCACACTTCAGCTTGGCAGCTTTGTCAAAAGCAATGTTACATTTTGCACACTAGTTTAATTTACCTATGACATGTGGCAAAGGAGAAATTCAATTTGCCAACTGGACATAGTTTATTTGGTCGAATACGTTTTGCAGTTCATCCAAGCTGCAGAACTGAAGAAGCAGTATTCAACCAAATAAACTTTGTCCAGTTGACAAATTAAATTTCTCCTTGCCATGGATTCTACCTGGACAGCTGAGGGATTTTTCACATACCTATGACATTGTATGTGTAAAAAATGTAATCCATGATTTCCTTCACATCTTTACAAATGGAGTATGGAAATTTATTTACAAGTCATCTACATTAATTGCAACTGAAAATACACTTTTAAAAGAAGTTGTGACCATTTCGAAATTCATAAAAACAAATACTGAAATCCTTACAGACCTAAATTTTAAAACACATTTAACAGTGTTCAATATGTCATAGCTTACAGTTGCATTTTTTTTTTTTAATACAACAAATTTAAAAGAAGCACTTCTTAAGTACCCATAATAATATACACTTATACACAGCTGAGGCAGTTGATTGTCCAGCCCCTATTAGTCTGACTTTTCAGAATAAATCCTGGTGAAGGAGAAGACAGCAGGCTGGGCGCTCAGGTTGTGGATGCTGTAGGCGTGACCTGGGCTGGGACAAATAAAGAGATGAGGAGTGAGCTCCAAGTTATCTTTTATACAGGGCATTCTCATTCGAGACTTACCAGGTGGCACCATAAAGGACTGCCCTGCACTGTAGCACGATTTATTGCAGTCCACTATTAAACTCACAGAGCTTGTTAATAAACTAAAAACCTTTGAAAGGACAAAAAGGACACAAATATGAATAACATGAGAAGGACATGAATGCAGCATTCAGTGTAAGCTTTACTCACTGTTGTGGCACTGTGATCCACCCACAGAGGCTTCTTCATGAAGGAGCCCAGAAGCATCTTGCCATTGCAGATGGATCCTGAGTGCAAGTCCACCATGACGCCTAAAGCTCTGCCCTGGTAACAATGCCACTCAAAATCATCAGGTGTGATTTCAGGGCCTCCTGGGGGTGTAGTTAATGCAAAAGTTAGACATTGCAAATCCATAAGTAAGAATAGGTGTATTTTTATGGTCATATTAGATTATGTTACTTTGCTTATGGTCTGTTATAGGCCAAAGAGACTTGAGCCAGTCCTGGAGGTTGACCTTGTCTTTAGGCTGCAGGACAAGTGGCCTGAGAGGAGGGGCGCACAGATCAGAGGCGCACAGAACAGGCTGTACTGTAGTTGATGGCAACACTGAAAAATTAACAAGAACAAGCAGATTATAATATGACTATTTTCAGCATTTGACTAGTTTGAGTAAAAATAACATAATAACTAAGTATGATAGATATATTGTATACACAAAATGTACATGTGACTGGGAATTTACACGTGAACTTAAAAGCATAAGTCAAGTGAAAACAAGTAAAACATACCATTATCTTCATCATCTTCCTCGTAGTTTTCAAATTCAATCATAGAAGATGGCCCACTTCTGATGACCTTTGACCTGCAAGAAACAAATTAAATATATTACAGAAGAAATAGTAGGAAAAAATAGTTATAGATGAAAGTACCTTGCAAATTATTTTTTACTCATCCAGGTATGACAATACTCAAAACAATACTATTGAAATGACTTACATGCTATCCTGTAGCGTGTCTGGAATGGGAAATCGGTCCAGGGCCCTTTGAGATTCATTGGTCTCCATACTGACTACATCATGTGTAGCTAAAGGGGACGTTATATTTTTCTGCTCCTTTAATTTTGTCTCAGTTTTTCTGTTTATAGATGGGTTCAGAGTGACAGTGCTACAACGTTCGGTATATGTGGCCAAAGACTGTTTTTTCTGTTTAGTGGCTCCCTCTAGTGGTTTAGAAGGAGAACATACAGAATGCTTTTTTCTCTTTTCCCCAGCAGCTTTGAGCTTCTTGGGTTTTTGTAGTTGAGGCTCTGAGGGGGGCATCTCTTGGTCCTCTGCTGTGGCACTGATCTGCCACCAGTTTCCAGGAGATTTCCTTCTCCGTTTTGTGAAATCTCTTGAGCCCAGCAGTTCTTCAGGTCCTTTGTGTGTAAGGGACAGTTTTTCACTGTTTTGGTACACATTAGGAAATACCTGTTCTCCTGTTGAGTAATCAAGAAAAATCAATTGATGTTACAAACACTATGAGGTTTGAGCAAGCCAGTATAAACAAGCATGCATCTGCAACTAACTACTGCAAACTACAATAGTAGACTGGTAGGCATACTGGCACCTTATATTGAATTGTTAAGTTAAGGTTAAATTTTAGGCCACATTATATGTAATAATAACATAAGTATGTAACAGGTATTATCCATCATTTAGAGGACTACTGTGTTAATACACTACCTGAAGAGATGCATTGTTTGTGTGGAAAAAGCAACGGGCTTGAATCTGAATCTTGGTCCAGAGCTCTGTCCTGACTTGACTCCCGAAAAACCTCATCTGAATCTTCAGACATCCGCTTGATTGGCCGCACTCTCTTTAGAATTTTCTTCTTAACCTTCTTTTCAGATTTTTGCTGGTGACTGTTGCTGGATGAAGATGAAGATGCTTTCAGATTTTTCTTTCTTGCACCTGTGGTTGCTTTTACAGATGAAGCACCAGAAGGACTTGAGGCCTTCTTTGCATGTTTAACCTTCTGCACAGTTGATTGTTTGTCTGTGGGTTGCTGCTGTGGGCTCTGAGGGCAGTTCATCCACCACTGTCCAGTCTGTTTCCTTTTCCGTTTCGCTCTGCTGCATTCATCTGACATCCCTTCCAATGAACTACACGATGTATGAGGATTTAAATTAACATGCTCCAGGTCCCTAGTTGATTTGGCTTCCAAACTGTTGATGACTGGATAAAAAAAAAATCAAATAAATATTAGTGAGAAAAACATTCAAAGTTTCAATAGATCAGGACTTCAGGCAGGACCATTACCTGAAACAGGAGACTCATCACCGGGCTGATCACAGTTGAGCTCTTGGCTTTGCTCCTCTGGTCCATTAACTTCAGCGCTGGCTTTGTCTGCTCTTTTCCTGCTCTCCTTTAAATGAGTCTTCTTCCTTTGAGAATTCCCATTATTATTTTTTACAGGCTTTGATCCTTTTTCTAAAGTCTTTTCCCCTTTCCTCTTAGTTTTCTTTGAAGGCTTTACATCATCTGTGTCTGTGCCTACATATTCTGGTTTGTTGTCATTTTTAGATGGACTTTTTATTAGTTGAGTCTTCTTTTTTTTCTTTGTTTTACCACATTCTAAAAGATTCTCTGCATCATTGGAGTCAAAAATGGCTGGTACATTTGGATCTTTATCAGAAGCACCTGAATTTGATTTAGAGACTTTTGTTTTTTTCTTTGTTTTTTCAGTGAAAGACTGACTTCTCAGTTTGGTGTGATCCTCTTCAGCACTCTGCAGTTCATCTGCTGAATGTTCTTCGCCTGCGGTGTCCTTAGTTTCTTTGTCAGAACTTGATATTTTACTTTGTTTCTCTTTCAAGTTTCTGGAGGTTTTACTTGGGATAGAAACATACAAAGGAGCATCATCCTCCAATATAAGAAAGTCATCTTCACTTTCTGGCTCTGGTGCTGGAGGCATGACTTTGGCTTGTAACAAACCAGCACTTAAAAAAGAAATAACACACATGTCATTATACTTTTTTAACACAGTAAATGAATCAAATTCATACATTTTTTGTGCATGCAGTCTCACCGTGTAGGTTTGGGCTGTCCAGCATCTCTGAGCTTCTGGAGAAAAGAGGTCATGTCATGCTTGACTGTGGTGGGCACCTGTACATTTTCTTTCTCTGGGAGTGCTGATCTAGCCTCGAATCTCACTGGAGATACAGGTGTACCTGAAGATTTCAGCCTGCATTACAAAACAAGGGGGGAAAACTAACAAACGGTACAATCAAAGTGAAAACGTATGCACAGTAATACACATTAAGATAAAGTTGCAAGTAATGACAAAAATATGTTACCTCACTGGGGATGATTTCTTTTTCTGTGCTGACATTTTATTAAAGGCAGATTTTTCTGGAAGGGTCTCAAAAATAGAATCATCGCTTCTGGAATAAAAGGAAGAACATGTTTTAATTATTATTCCTATACTAGATTATTTGCAATATTCTGACTTAAATAAAACATAATTTGCTTACTCATCTTTCCTGTGGTTATTATGTTGATATTTCTCTGAGAGCTTTTCTCCTGTGTCTAAAATCTTATTTTCTTCTGCACAATCAAAGAGAATTGGTGAAGCGGAGTTGTCCTCTTTCCTTCTTTGCTTGTTTTTATGCTGTATTGCATTTCCTTCTATTGGACTGGATGTCTTAACCGGTCCATGCGCCTTAAATGGGGTCTCTGAATCTAGACAAAAGCAATAAAAACAATCAAATTATCAATATGATAAGAATAATAAGAATAATAAACACATGTACAATCACGCATTCATTATTCCGAATGAAAAATATCTACAGTACATTACCAATGTCAAGTTCAGGGCTGACTGGAGTGAGGGGTTTATGGTGGTTTCCATTAGCAAACTAAAATTACAAAACAATTATAATACAAAATTAATACAACAAATAATAATAAATACTAAATATTGCAAGAGCTAGACAAGAGTTGTAGCCATTGTTTACCATTGGATATTCAAGCGGCTCTTCAGGGGGAGGTGTCTCAACTCTCTCTATGCGTTTGGGAATGTGAATTTCAGGAGATGGAGAAGGAAAGTCTTCCCCTTTGGAATCTAAAATAAAACAATTTCTTAGCAAGTATGCAACCACAAAACCAGTGAAACAGAGTACAAAGGAACTCACCCAAGCCATCAAACATCTTATCAACATCTTCCAAAGAAACTATATCTTGTGTCCATTGGTTAGGGGGACTAAAAATGTAACGTTAGAAATATGTTAACTTCAAATTGTCCAAATGATATAATAATGTTAAGTTCGCAATGCACAAAATCTAGTCAACATATAAAAAAGTAAATTGCATAAGGGAACATACCGGGTTTTAGAAGTGGGGTAGATGAGCTTCTTTTTGGGCCTTTTCTGTGACACAAAATCAATGCCAGTAGATAATGTTAACAAATGACACCGTTGAAAACAGAAAACGCTGCAGGTTTTACCAACGTTTTGTAACTTAAAACCCTAAAGAAAAATTAATCAACAATGTAACGCTTTATGTTGTGACTTACCAGCGTCGGGTAGTTATCGTCCATTTAAAATAACTTTTCTTGGCGTATTTAGGCACTTTAGGATCGAACCCAGGCTAACCGCTAACGCTAACCAAACTACTACTACTTTCTTTTGGGATTTTCAGTAAAAGCAATGAATAGATGAACCCTCTGTATACTGCACTTGATACGCTTAATTTTGCTCAGCACAGAACGGAGAAATCACACGCATTAAGTCCAAAATGATGTTTGGGTTATCGTATTTCAGCATTTGTGCAACAATAGCGTTGTTGACAAATTGCAAATAACCCGCGCGCTGGTAGTCGGGAATACAACTTGTGCCCTGAATTTAGCCTGCATATATCAGCCTAAAATAATAAAAACACTAAACAATGCAAACACAACAAGTGACTTTATTTTTGTATCTTGTGGGTGATTTTACATTTGCCACGTGTCGTGTGTAAATATGTTCATATTTGGGCCTGGAAGTCTAAACAACGGGATAAATGTAAACGGTCTATGGGTAAGCCTCGCTTGCTCTTTTTCTGTTCTAACCTTTTTTGCAATACTGACCTCTACAGGTAACATGTTTCTAATGCATTACAAATGCGATGTGTAGTGAAACTAACAAACAGAAGCTACACATAACTGGGGTGGAAATTTATATAGTGGAAAGATTTCTCTCAATCAGTCTTTGTGTAAATTATTGTGATTTCTACCTGTGTAAAGGCTTAGCAGACACAACTGTCCCCACACACAGGAAGAGTTGTCTTACCTGTCCTCAAATGTAGTTGATTAACACCAGTCTGTGAAAAAAAAGTCACTCTGCTTTGATATGTATGTAACTTGAATTTCTGGATCAGAGCTCATGATGCTTTGGGGTAAGATGGGGGGAGATTACGCCCTACCTTTTTATTCTTTGTTCTTGTTTACACTCTAAAAATTGATTTTATTTTTATTTACTTTATCCGTGCAATAGGGCTCACTTACACTTGTATGGTGTTAAGGCCTCTGTGAGGATATTGTTTTTTTGATTTCTCCAGTGTCACAGAATGAAAACCGCCACAAGCGCCACAAATGGAGTTCGCCTCTTTCTTTTTTTTTCAACGCACTTCTATCATTCGCATGCAGAAAGAGAGTGAGTGAGTGAGTGAGAGAGAGAGAGAGAGAGAGAGAGAGAGAGAGAGAGAGAGAGAGAGAGAGAGAGAGAGAGAGAGAGAGAGATGTCCATGGGGGTACACTTATAAAACATTTGCAGTGACCCGACGTTTTCAAACAACCCAAGCGTAACTCGGACCTCAAGTTAATATATTAAAATAATGTACCCAATCTCCTTGCCGACCCACTTGTTTTAAAAAGGTATAGGCTATGCTTTTGATCAATCATGGCCTTATTTGCAAAGCCTTACAATATTTTGCAAAGCAGATGTGAGTAACCTGCTAGTGTCGTAGTACTCGAGACCGTTTTTTTTTTTTTTTACGTTTTTGGATTCGTCTCGGAGTCGACCGCACTTGGACTCGATCTTTTTCTCGGTCTTGAAGGCGTTTGGACTCGGTTTTATCTCGGACTCGAGGTCTGACACTCGACGAGTACGATGATATTTCACTGCGGCCGCTGTTGTCCGCAATAAACTTGTACCAGTGTGCGGGAGCGCTCAGGACGTCTCTGAGCGCCTGTGCGCTCGTCTGAATCCCGCGTACACTGCGCACACATCACAAGCACATATGCCCCCAGCCCCCCATGGGCCGTGGTCTTGATCTTGTCTCGGTCGCCGTCTGATCGGGGATCACATAGTATACTTGGTCTATGGGAAACACTGAGTGGTCTGTCAGAGTGAGATGAACAAGAGCAGGAGTACAGGAGACTGACAGCAAGCTTTGTTGAGTGGTCCCAGACAAACCAAGTTACTGGAGATCTTCTACCAGTCTGTGGTGGCCAGCACCCTGCACTTTGCTGTGGTCTGCTGAGGGAGCAGCACCAGTAAAAAGGACATTGGGCAGATTGACAAACAGATCCATTGTGATTGGTTGTGAGCTGGAGATATTTGTCACAGTGAGGAGGACACTGGACAAACTGCTCTCTATCATGGTCACTGCTGCTCACCCACTGCACCAGACTATAGAGTTAGAGGAGCTCATTCTCCAACAGGCTCTTACAGCTTCGCTCAAACAGTGAGAGATTCAGGATTACATTCATACTCCATACAACTGTACAACCAACTCACCTTTATGTAACAGATAATACTCCCTACAACTGTACAACAATTCATCCTCATGTAATTTATACACTATGTCCTGTCAATAATCATATCATTGTTACACTGTTTTCCTATGACCTCTTGTATATAGCGGAGATTTTATATTGTATTACTTATTTTTCTATTTTATTATGACTTGTATATTTACACACATGCCTTATTTGACACCTGTCTTTTGCTATCTTTTTTGTTACTTATTTAGAATTCTTTGTTACGTTTATATTTTTTATTCTTTGTTATTGTATTGTGATGTGATGTGTGAGCTACTGTGTCCAAATAATTTCCCTTGTGGATCAAAAAAGTTTGTCTAAGTCTAACAGAGAAGAGGTGACGGGCTGTTGGTCTCTGTCCAGGGCAGGCTTAGGCCTTGTTCATATCTGCCGTGATAAGAAGAATAAACCTTTGTCTGTATTCCAAAAACTTGATTACCAGCAATTATTTATCAAGAGATATATCATTTTTTCTACAACAATAACTCAGTCACTTTTGGGCATGATGGTATGTGGTCTACGCAGTAAACAAGACTAAATCAATGTCCATGTCCAGAGATGCATTTCTTAGACTTACACTGTAGATAAATTTCACTGATCCACAATAAGGGAAATTATTTGAACACATGTAGCTCGCACATCTCAATATATTTTAATAACAGAGCAAAAATAAATGGTAATAATAGATTTCCATAGATTTATTCCAACTGAGCATGCAAATAAACACTCAGACTAAACCAGAAAAAGGTCAAATGAGCAAAACATATAAGAAATATTAACATAGCAAAATATGTATTAAATATGCAGATTAACTAAAACCAAATTGCCAAATATAAACAAAAATAACTAATCTTAGAATAAACAAAAAAGCAAATAGCTCATACACAATGGTAGATTACATTTCTAATGATAAGTGAATTGAATGTAATAAATAGAAAATACAGGGTAGATGATATAACCAACCAAGACATCCAATTATTTAATTAATTCAAAGCTTTCACAAAACCATAGACGTAGATCTGTTCAACAAGCAATAACATCATTGAGTAACATCTCCAGTGCAATCAATCAGCTGTGTGTTTGAGGTATTTAAAGAAATATTTTCTTATTCTTCTGAGCTATGTCCATTGGTTCCATTGCTTCTAGGTTAGCGTCTCTATAGAGGGGCCGCTTTTTGTGCCTCCAAATCACCAAACCAATACGTGTGACAAAGATCAGACAGGCTAAGGCCAACAGAACCACTGGGGGAAAAGGTTTCATTTAGTTTAAATTCCAACACATTTTGATTATAAAAGCAAATATATATTACCAATAAAAATTCCATTGCGATTTGGTGACTCTGGGTCATAGTTTTTGTCTAGATTTCCTGAGAGTGCCCAAATGACTACTGGATACACAATGAGGACGTATCGTACATGTTTGTCAAGCACAGTGTTCTCTAGAACAAACCTTTAGAAAAAATGCAACTATATGTATTATGCATAGTAAACTCCATACATAATTGTACATAATAATAATAAGCCTTACCATGCAAGCAGAACCACAGACAGAATTGAATAAGATATGGTGCCAGCATCTAGTGGATTCATACCAGCTTCATAAGTTAGAACAATAGCCAGGTTGATGAGAGTTGCAATTGTTGTCCATGTGGTGTAAATCATGACACCATTTTGAACCTAAACAGTGCCCTCAGATTTGATCAATCTGTTAAGAAAAAAAAATGCTGCTAAGCTTGTCTATACTTACTATTATCCTGTAACACCACAGATCTTCCTTGTGGTATTTCATCAGCCAGGGTCCATAAAGATGAAGGCCGTGGCAAATAAAAAATATCATTGAATAGTTTGTGATTATAACCAGGATAAGGAACACCAATGCAACAATCATATTTCTGAAAGAGATAAAAAATATCTCTTTATTATCACATAGGTTAATTGACAGTTTGGCTTTTTTTTTTTTTTTTCCATTTTACCCTTGGTCCCAGACTATCAGCCATCCAATGTTGAAACCCAGATTGAGGCACCAGCTAACAAAGAAACCATAAGGCAATACCGAGGGGCTGCAGTAAACATAGCCATAACCATTTCTAAAAAACAAACAGAAATGTGTTATTTTGTGTACTTTGTTTCAAATAGGTTATCTATTACTACTCACTTTCTGCAGAGTCCAATGACAATGTAGATAACAAGTGCAGTAAGCCAAATATAGATGAGGGTCCATATGTTAAAGGTCCATCCGGAGGGCGTAATCTGGGTGTCAAACACTGCTGAGACATTGGCTGTTGTTGTTGTATAAGGACCTAAATATAAATACAGAACCAATAAAAATCAAGAGCTAATACATATTACAATACAATATATTGTAAAATAAAACCAAAAACATATACTAGTATATTACACATTAACTTACCAACGCCCACCACAGAGAGTCCATTGAACACCAAACTGACTAAATATCCAGCAACTGACACCAATACTGCAGCAAGACGCCCACCATTATGCTCTCCCATCATGACTGGCGGTGTAAATAAATAGAGTTTGTAAAGTCACAGAAAAAGTTCAAAGCTTTTGTGGAGGTCTTCTCTACTCAGATCACATCAGATTTTAATTGTATTTTGATTCACCCTTTTATATGGCTCACACACTCCTTGACAATAATAAAAGTTTGATAATAATTTCTGTTGTTGATAGATAAAAGATTGATAACGTGAAAGAAACATACCTTACTACGCCTCTCCTTGTGCAAGTCAGCTCTTCAGGGGATGTTCAGGGACTAGTGTGGAGAAGATTGGAGTCACACAGTTTTATAGAAATTCTTGTTGTGCAACAGAAAGGTTTTATGGTCCTTGAAAGCCTTACGTGAACCTTTATCTTACATATATAATACCACAGTCCACGTGATGAGATCATAAAATGCAGATGTTTGATTCTGTAAGACATAACAACATTTAGGTTTAATAATATCAAAATATGTAAGAGAAGGTGGGTCCAATAAAACATAAAAGATGAGCATAGAGAAGAGGCTTTATGGCTGAAACAGATCAGGGATTACCTGACACAGGAAGTATGTTAAATAAGTGTTTTTTGTTTTTGTTTTTTTGTTTCATTTGTAAATATGTTCCACCAGGATGCCCTAAAACTTTATCTGGGTACAATTTACAAAACAAAATTATATTTATGGGCCTTCTGTGCTCTAAACAACTAACTGATTAATCAAAAGATTAATCACTAGATTAATTCATTAGGAAAAATAAGAACTATTTTTATTATTAATTCCATTCTAGCTAGGTAATTAAACATTACCTGGCCGCGTCCCCATAAGAGGCACACATGTTCAAACAGAGCTCTTATTGACAACAATTGTAACGCTCATTTATTCTTAATAATTACAAAAATATTAGATATTATGTTCCATTTATTTAGGCCTATGTTATAATTTGGAGTTTATTACACAATTTTATAACTCAAGACGATTATCAAATCAGAAAGCAAAATGACCTTGAAGTCTCTCATTTGGATTGACAGATTCAATGTTCTGTTGTTTAAATTTAGTCAGTGCTAGTGCAGCCTGTGCTGCTGCATTATATACTGTTCATAAGTGAGAATGAGCAAAGCCTGTATGTATCCCCTATTTGCAAGTTAAAGCACTGGCAGCCAAGGTCCAGTTATAATTTTAATACCTGTGCAGACTATAGTTCCATTAATTAGGGCTAAACATGATCTAAAACTGATCTAAAAAATATTTAACACTATTGATATTGAGATGTAATCTTATGTGTAGTGTCATGAAATGGAGGCTCTTTAAACCAAAGACCAAAACCAGTAATCTCATGAAGGGCTTATTTCTATGGCAACACTGGAACACTCTGAAGCATTGTTTGTTTTGTTGAGTATTGTGTATGGAAAATATAAATTGTATATAAATTATAATTTGTTTTATTATTGTTAGTAAAACAACAACAAAACACAGCATATATTTTATATGAATTCTATTTATAAAATTGTGATGTAGTTCACAGTTCATTATTCACATCTTACACTTACAGGCATGTATTATAAGATAAACCATTAAGCATAACATTATGACATGCATTACAAAGAGTTAAATTATTACAAAAAAATGATAAATAAATATAATATTGGTTTCTAGTAAAAGGAAAAGACTGCACCTGTTGAATCACTATGCAAATCACTGCCATGTATAAGAAGCCGGTGGGCCACAAATCTATAAAGCACTTTACAAAAACAATAACACTACAGTTAAGATTTTCACTTCAATATCTTTTTTTGTTTTTTGGCAATCTCCATCGGGGACATGTCTTCTTCATCTGCATTTTTGTAAAGGGGATGTTTGCGGTGTCTCCAAATAACCAGGCCTATTCGAGTTACAAACAGACAGCAGCCCACCCCAATAAGAACAGCTGAAGGGAAGACAACATAAGACTCCCTCAACATCATGTAAGATATTTGGCTTCACTTCATCGTCTTACCATTAAATATGTTATTCCGAGATGGAGCACCGGCATCATAGTTTTTTGTGAAAACCCCAGTCAGTGCCCAGATCACAACAGGGTAAATGGACAGGATGTAACGGACATGCTTCTCCAATAACCAATTTTCAAGGACAAACCTGCAACACACATTAACTTTCATTCATCATCTTTAACCTCTTTAAGTTACTAAAGTAATAATAATAATTAAACACACCATGTAGCTATTACCACTACCAGAAGAGATAGACTTGTAGTTGCAGCATCATTTTGAGACATATTTGCCTCAGTGGTCAGTACAATATTCAGGTTCACCAGAGTTGCAATAGTAGTCCATGTTGCGTATATGGAAATACCATTCTGAACCTATAATAAAAACAATGACAAAAACCTATGTATAACAAAGTATAGAAAGTGTTTGTCACAAGACTAACCAATATGCGGATGAGATACAGATCAATTTTGTGGTTCTTGTACAGCCATGCTCCATAAGCATTTAAACCAAAACAGGAAAAGGCTATGACCCCATAATTGGTTAAGGCAATGAAGAAGAGAAAGATCACTGAAGGAATCATCAAACTGAAAAAAGACAGAATCAATTAGGCTATTATTACAGTTTATGTAAATCAATATTACATGCAGAGTTTTACCTTCTATCCCAGAAAAACAGCCATGCCACATTTAAGGTCAGGTTTAAGCTCAACATCACAAAGAATCCATGTGGTAGAACAGCTGGGCTACAGTACACATAACCATACGCATTCCTGAAAAAGAACTGAATGTCAATCGAAGTGCCTCTCACATATAGCATGCATTGAACAGAATTAAACACAAACTTACTTTCTAAAGGCCCCAGAGAGAACATAAACAAAAACTGAAGCCATAAAAGTATAAATAATACCCCAGATAGCAAATGTCCAACCACTTGGTGTGACTTCTGTTATGAACCAGGTGGAAATATTACTAGTGGTCTGCAAAAATGGGGCTAAAGAGAGAACTCATTGGTCAAATATATAACAACATGGGAATAATTAGACATTTTGAAACTACTTACATGCGCCTGCGGATGCCAAAGCAGTAAAAACCATAGTAATGATGAAGACAATGACTGATAACACAATTGTTATCAAGAGACTTACATTGTGTTTTTCCATTGTACAAATATTGTTAAATCAAAGGGCTTTAAAGATAGTGTACCATAAGTGGCCAAGTGGCATCTGAATCTGAGGAGGGGCTTACACATGGTTAAAAAGACTCAGTTGTGTAAGGTTTTTATGACTCCAGCACGTGTATCTCCTATCCTTAAAAGACCCATCCCATGTGACATTACTCGAGGTGTTGAATTGAAAACAATGACAACCTATGAGTATCTGATACACACATTTCATAAAATATTGTAGACTTTACCCCGGAAAACTGGTTTGATAACACATAGCATGACCAAACAATCCTATCAGGATAGCTTTACACAAAACCTTACATGACCTTATGTGTTTGGAGCCTATCTTTTGGTTAAAGCCTTGGCTCTACTTCTTTGATGTATGCAAGGATATATAAAGGAAAGAGAAAACATTTAAAAATCAGACGTGTTTATTAAAAGCACAAAAATTTTCAACAGTTTACATTAAAAAATCATAACCATAAACAGTTTGGAAAAATAAACATATTATATTTAGCCAACAGTTACGATATTGTGTGCATCAATAAACACACATTGAACATTATGAACAGAAACAGCGGGTCAGAACTTGTTAGAGGCACTTAAAAAGATTGTCACTCTTTTAGTTCTTTGTTACATTCCTTTGTGTGATATGTTCAATGTTGCATGCCCTTTGCGTCCTGCAGTTGCAGCATTGGGCAGTACTTGCGTGTGTGCGCCTCATCCCCGGTGGCCTCGCAGACTGGACAAGTGTAATTCCACAAGATGGGACACATCACTCTGCCGTCGCTCGCTTTCAGCTTGTGCGACCGATACACCCTGGCGGTCTCTCCGTTCTGTTTGCAAAAGCGGCAGAAGTCGGAAGGGCTCCCGCTTTGGCTGTTGTCCGACAGGCTGCTGAGGGAGCTGGTACTGTCCCCTCGCGCGCGCGAGGTGCCCGGCTGGGACCGTCTCTTTTGGTTCTCCCACCCTTGCGCCTTTGGCCCGTCCTGCGATCTCAGCAGCAATTTTCCCAGGTTCATGTAGTCATGCCACATGTCGAAGCAATCCGGCCCGGAGCACCGCTGGTCAGAAAGGACGCGTCTCTGCGTTGATGACATTTTTGCATCCCCCATGTTGTTTCTGCTTGTCTCAAGTTGAGGCTCATTTTATACCCAGGATTAATGGCACGAATGTATCAAAGTTGATCATTCTTTAGAGGTCGCACAGGGGTCACCCAGGTGCTTTCAGAAGGCTTTTCATCTCGTTTTATTCGGGGTCGGACCGGCGCCACTATCATCACCAAACAAACTGTTGAAAGTTTAAAGACCAGTCCTACGTTAAATAGATCAGGTACTTTCAACGTTTGCTCATAACTTATAATAGTTTAATTGGCCAGTGCTGTCCATATCCATTACAAATGTAGCGTTTATTTCTGCGTCGGATGCTGGCGCCAGGGCATCAGACAAAGTGAGTCCCGGGTGACAGGTGCAGGTGTCCCATCGTCACCCCTATAGTATATGTAACAATTTCATTGTCAGCGCTGTCACGGGACAAGTTGTTGCAGTGATAATATTTTAACCGTATGCCCATCACACATTTTGTCCCAGTGTTTTAGTTTATTACAGACGGCCAGTAGAATAAACCCAACAAAATCTGCGTTTGGCCGTGTGAACGTGGCTATATTCTTAAACTAATGGTCTTTTGATATTAGTCTATAGAGTAAATGCTGGACTTGTACGTAGACGAGTAGAAAATGCGGGGGTGGTGTAGGATTGTGCGCGCTGCTGTCTTGTGTCGTGTGCGCCAGTGGTGCGTAATTGTGTATACGCATGCGCGCAAAGCATTACCGGCGACGGCTGTAAACGGTGGCCTAGCACAGAAGGGGATTAAGGAGCCCAATCTGACAGGTTAGATAACAAATACACGTTTTATCAATAGTGTATCATGAGTCGGCTCTTTAAAATCGAATTTAAATACATATTAGGTCTGAAATTTGACATTTTGGGAAGGTTTGTGTTTGTCACTCTAGCTAATCTTTACGCAGCAAATGAAGCTAGATTCACTAGCTAGCTAGCTACTACGTATTAGCTTTGGCATTAACTATATGTGGGGCCTATGCTGAATTGCTGATACCTGCTTCTCCTTCACATTATGTTTTATGATGCTAGCTTATGTCTCAAGTGTTAACAAATCTGCTGTATAATACCGCAGATTTGTTTACAACTGACACACCATCATGAACTGTAGCTGTGATGAGCTGATTTAGCACTCGAAGCAAATGGCAAGCTAAAGATGTCAGTACTTACTCCCCTTTGCTTTGTGGTTCATTAACACATAGGCCATAGTAAACTGTATTGTGATACTGCTCGTGGTGGTGTTTTGATCAGATGGAGGCTTTTATTCCACGTGTCCCTGGCCTCTGTCTACAGTATGATGGAGTAAGGGCATTA